AGTCATTAGAAGTTTTTCTACTGTTCCTATTTATGCATTCAGGCTAACACGCTCTCTTTCTATTGTAGTTGAATTGTTGCTTTTAAAAACAGAGGAAAAATGATTGTATTTTAATGAAGAGTTCTCATTTGGCCAGTAGTCTTCCTCCATCAAAATGAGTAGAATCCATAGAAGACTCTCAGTTTCTCTAGCTCCTGTGCGCTTTTCTCCATGCAAGGCTGGGCTCACCCAACCAGGCCCCAACTTGTCTGCTCACTCTATCGGCTCCTCAGACTAAATCACATCAAAGCTCTGCCGCAAATGGTTGCCCTGACTGGCCAAGGTCTCTTTAAACCATGGTCTTGAAAAACAAGGAAGTACAAGGGATGATATCCGTTGTGTGTGAAAATTGTAATTTCCTAGACCTGAAGCCCCCTAATGTATGTCGCTTTAATAATTTCAAAAGAGCTTGCCCCAAAGCAACCCTTGGTAATCAGAATTGGCCAGTCTACCATAGGCAGGAACTATTCATCATTCTGGGTGCTCTTAGACACAACCACCCATCACTGATAAAGGCTAAAACACTCATTGAATCTCTTTCATTTTTTAATGGGATTGCCGTTTTGGCAAAAGTTCTGTTTTCATGAAAGAGAGGAAAGACCCAAACAACTTTGCTTGGCTCCTTTGATGGAATTCTAGACTCAAAACCTTTGATAGCTCTGCCATAAGGTAATTTTTTGAGAGCCCGCAGGACCTCTCCCTCTCTGGCTTTCTGGAATGGGCCAAGGCCCATCGAGTAGATCTGGGAAGCCTGCTAGGCTGTTCCACTGATTAAGAAAGCACGGAGTATTATATCTGCTGCAACACTTTACTTCCTAACCATGTTGTACACATATCGTTTCCTTTTTCTTAAAGGAAAGTTACAAATATTCTCAGTATCCTTAGAGGTAAAAATATAAAGAAATATAAGCAGTGTCTGATGAAACTTCGGAAGCTAGTATTCAGTGAGGTGCATTGCGGGTGAACTTTAACCACTGATTCCTGATTACAAAGAAGACTCTAATACCTGGTTCATATATAGCACTGACTCTTAAGTTTGATTTATTTGGTTTTGGTGTAGTGCATTATATGGACCCAGACATTGTGGTTGATAAATCATGCTTTCATGCTTTATATGTTATAAAAATACAAACAGAAAAATGTGGCATATTCAACTAACTATGATAATAAAGCATGGGTTAACATGGTATATGTACCGAGTATTAGAAAATTCAATCAAACGTACAAGGGTTCCCCCTTTTAGATCTTCTCTCTCTAAGGCTAGAACTTATGGCAATCTTGGGGTGAGGTTGGATCAGTAGATATGATTTTCCACATTTTTTTTAAATTAGGGGGAGAGAACAGCTTCTGAAATGGGTATGGTGATTTCTCTGTTTATTATATTCACTATTTTTATTTACTTGCTTATTGTAAAAGGTTTCTGGATGATAGATGTTTCAACCTGATTTACAACTGTGTGTCTGAGATTGTTTTGGACGTTTTAGTGAATGATTGATGCTTGGAACTGGACAGCGAATGTGTATCTCTGTTGGTTCTGCTGTCCGTCTTACTTCCATGCAATGTAACATATAGGTGAAACCACTTGGAGAGTTTGTGGCCACTCATATGGTGATGGCACCCAGTTATCCTTCTTTTTTCCACTGAAATCAATAAAGTTGTTCCAAGTTCTGAATTGATATCTGGTGTTTATAGTAGCTCAAATGAGGGCAAACACATTAAAGCTTAATTCAGACAAGAGAGATGCTCTTGGTTATTTGATAGGTAGTAACATTTCTGTGCAGGACAAAGGTTGACACTGGCACATGGGTATATTTCACAAACAGCTGATTTGATGCCAGTGGAGGTGGATTTTCCTCCTAGCAGGTTTCCTTTTTTTGCTAATGGTTGCCCCAACCCCCCAACTCACCCTCGAACCCATCTGATGGCTTTTTTCCCCTTTAGAATTTATTTTGGAGTTTACAAAATAGAGTATGGATGACCTAAACTTTCTAATGCTACACATGTCTCTCCTAGAGTTGTTCAAACTACAGACTCTCTTCATACAGAGATACTTGGGTTATGTCATCCTTAGCTAGGAGAGAGGGGGCCTTGTCCCTTACTTCTTTATTTAAAATATGTCAGAATGGCCCTCTATTCAGAATCAATGGTCTAATCATTTCTTCTTATATAAGCATATCATTTGTAAGTTCCCCAAATAAATAATGTGCCTTGCCAGCAGATCTGGCAATTTTGAATAGAAAGCCTACTCCATGGTTGGTGATTATAGATATCTTCCTCACCCATCAGTCTCCCTGAGCATCTGATTTTTTAAAAGATTCTTTTACTTAACAAAAAGTTACATGGGAACCTGACATGTCGCAAAGCAAAGTGGCAGCCTCCAACCTCATTTTATTTCCAAGAATGCCTCTTGGCCCCCTTGGAATTTTTAGAAAATAAAAAACGATTGGTAACTGCTACCTGCCAAGAAAAAAAAAGATGTAATTAAATTGTGGTGGTAAACATTCTGTAGGGCAAGAGGAGTTGGTGGAAAAAATAACCCTCTGTTGTGTGACTGACATGGTCCATCATGGCAACCAGTTTGTGAAGAGCACCCATGACAGCCATTTGAAAAGTGCCCCCCAAATGCTCTCAGAATTCCAAGTTTGTTTCTTTCTAGCCTGTTAAACGTCCCCTGCTTCATCTCAGAATGATTCTTATGAGTATGCCCAGTGGAGTGCTGACAGCAGTCCCAGTTGGAGAGTGGAGTGAATAACTGAAACTTCTCAACAAAATATGTTTTGGGTAGCACAGGGAGAATCTTCATACCATAGGGGATGTGCGATGCTTTAATGTGCATCCTGGCCATTGCCACAATGGATTTATGTGGCAGTTACATTCTGCTAACCTATGACATATATTTTGGCTGTTCTAACAGGCTGCCAGTGCTATGGGTTCTTCAAGCCAGCTAATTCTTCTGTCAAAAAGAATTGAGGTCTCTGCTCTAGAGCCTCAATGACAGTTACTGGCTGATTTGGGTCATGTTCTCAGTTCCTGGTCCAGTCACCTGAGCTGATGTAGATTTCATCTGCAACCAGGACAGGGTTTGTCATCTGCTAGGTGGTGGAATTCAATACTCTGGTGTGGAATTTAGTAGTCAGTGATCTTGCCAGAAGCTTGCATTTTAAAACATGGCATTGTTAATAGAATTACAGTATCCTTTATTTATTTATTAATTTAGTTGATTTATATCCCACCTTTTGTAACAGGAGTTGAAGACAGCATACATAGTATTCTCTCCTTCAGTTTTTCCCCATAACAGCAGCCCTGTGAAGTAGGTTGAGCTGTGAGAAAGTGACTGGCCCAAAGTCATCCAGTGAGCTTCCATGGGCTAAAGGTGGATGAGAACCAGGAGGTCCTGTTAATATGTATTTGGGAACTTCACAGGTTCTCAAGCTAAGTTGGAAAATGTGTCATTAGGCACATTAAAAAAAAAGGGGGGGGGGTTCCATATCTGCATCTGTAGGCACTTTGGGTATTTTTTGCTGGAAAAGTGTAATAGACGGATAAATTGTCAGTAAATTAATAGAATACATGGAGGTGCATGCACATATATTTTATTCATCTTAACTTATTGAGTGCACATTACACTAAGCCGTCCTACTCAGTGAATGGGACTGTGCTCTTTACTATCTTAGTCCTGTCCCACAAGGCCTTTTAATCAAAGTCCCAAGCTTGCCTAAAGATTCAAGTGTCACACAAACCAAGAACAGCCGTTCTTCCTGGTTAGCAGCACTTAGAATTTGAACCCAAGTTTCAAATTCCAGTTGCTGCTAATAGAAAGTGGCAGTCTGGGTTCACATGACAGGCTCAGCTTAAACTAATCCTTGGGGCTTAATTAAAGGGATATATGGGGTGGAATGAGCGTGCACGATGACAGCTCCAACTACCCAATTAATTATACAAGGTGACTTAGCATTTGTGTGAATGCACAATCAAGTAATGAGAGGCACTCCAATTGGTGGTGGATATTTTCCACTTTTGCACCTCACTTTTGTCCAATGTGAGTCAAGTATGCATTAATATAGAAAATATACCTAGACCACATACCTTTGTTTGGATGGTGGAAGTTCTGATGATAAAGTCTTGGTTCATACCTAGCTTTCCCCCGCCTGTTCTGTCTTCCACAGATAGCACTCCCTAAGTCATATTCTCCAAGACTTCCTAAGAAACAGAGAAAGTACCAGAAGGAACAGATGACAGAGTGGATACACAGTTACCCATGTGCCCCAATATGCCTTTTCTGGACTGGTTCCTCTACCACTCAGTTGCCATGTGGTTGCTCCTCCAGAGTTTTGTTCTGATGGCCTTTTGTTTTCACTCAGCCACCACTTTTCCCAAGGGGTGCTACCCCTCCACTGAAGATGGCTTCAAAACTTTCCGCTGCAGTAAAGCTCAACTTACAGTTATCCCAAAAGATATACCCAACGACACCAACAAGTTATATTTGGATTATAACCAGATTTCTTTCCTGCCCAATGACGCCTTTCAACATTTGCCACTTCTAGTAGAACTAGACTTGTCCCACAATGTCATAAGTCGCATGGAAGTTGGAGTCTTTAGGGGCTTGTCAGAGAACCTGCATTCACTGGACCTGTCTTCTAACAAGTTAGTATCAGTCAATAAAGATGTCTTCAGTGCACTGAAAGCCAAAGCCAACTTATCCAACAATCCTTGGCTCTGTGACTGCACACTCCAGCAGCTCATGGAGAGAGTAGAGCTGGTTGCTGGTACCTCTGATGGGATTGTGTGTGATACCTCTGCACGGAAGGAGCACGTTGGCAAGCCTTTTCTACAGTTGATTGGAGACATAGATTTCTGCAACATCTATAAAAAGACCACAGATATCGCCATGCTGGTCACCATGTTCGGCTGGTTCGCCATGGTGATCTCATATTTAATCTACTATGTCCGGCAGAATCAAGAGGATGCCCGACGACACTTAGAATATCTCAAGTCCTTGCCCAGCAAGCAGAAGAAGTCAGAAGAGTCATCTACAATTAGCACCGTAGTGTGACCAAAATTAAAAACCAAAACCTTCTCACCCTCACACATCCCCAGTAAACTATTGTCCATTGAAGTAGATAGGTTTTACATCTACTTCAGGTGGACCATATCTGCTAGATGCTTGAATGCACAATGGCTGAAGAGACTGTTATTAAACAAAGAATGAAATTTTTAAAAGACTTAAGGAGGTAAGGCCTTGCTTATATAAAAGGCCTCTCTTACTTTCATTCCTGAGCAATGAAAAACACAGATCATCATAAAAGCCTAGCCATGGTTGAATTCATTGGCACAATTCAATGTATGGAATAGTGCCATGTTATGTATCAGTTATTTCTCAGTCCTGCGATGGAGGCACCATCACACCCAGACTTTGCAAAACCTCCTGGCTCTCAACTTGTACTATTCCACGCCAGGAAATCCTGGAGGAAGTTCCCATCATATAATGTTCCAGGGGTGCCAAGAATTGGGAGTGAGATGATTCTGTTGCTTTCTCTTGTTCTCATAAGGGTTTTACTGTAGCTCCAACTAGCTGGAGTCAAGAGCAAGCTTCCCCAACCTGGCATCCACTAATTGTGTTGGACTTTTAGGAATTCTCCTACACAATGGTGGGGTTCTAGGTTTTTGGAAGGCAGAAGAAGAATAATTACTAAGTGCTAGAAGACATGCGAGCCTGTTATTCATGTGCAAATTACCCCATCATCTAAATGCTGAACCTTTTCTTTGAACACACGTTAATAACCACTGCTGGTTCCTCTCTCCAATGCTTCATATCAGATTTTTAAAAATAAATCTTTTTCTTATTTGCAGGAATCCATTAGTACACTAAGTACAGAATGGGAGGGACAGAAAGAAGGGTCAATGCTCTGACGTTTTAAGCCGTTTTCTGAATTTTTGCTGCTCTGTTAAGATTCTTTATGGGGCTTGCTGAGAGATGGAAAATTTCAATTGAAATGATGTCGCAAAAATTCAGGAAAGGGCACAAAAGTCCCCATACTGACTCTCAAGGAATACAAAGAAAACCTTCATAACCACCTTGATTCAGAGAACAGCAGGAACAGCAGAGCTACACACAAGGTACCTGCCTCTGTAGCCAGATCAGGCTGGTTCTGAAGGTGTGTACACAACTACTTTGTGTGTGGGGGAGAGATCCTGAGAGGTAGCAGGTGATTTCACATGCACTGACCAGCACATGGCTTGGTGAACTCTCGTCCCAGGTAAGCAGCCTTGTTTGCAGCTCTGTGTTCTAAGAAAATGGTTTCAGCTGTGCCATCACTTTACTGGATCAGCGTGATTGTGTTTTTTACTCATTTTCTTTCTGGTTACAAATGGCTACATCATGACACTAGTAATATAGGACTTCAAAAAACCTCACAGTTGAGAGCTTTGATCATTCTGATGAAATAACTTAGAAAAATAACAATGATTACACATGAATCATCAACCAATAGCCAACATTATTTATTCTGGGCACCTATAAGCAAAATACGTCACATGACCAAGAAATGTATAGCATATAACATTTTTTTTTCCTTCTCCCAAAGGGAACACTGCACATTTTCTTTTGCTAAATTTTCTGGACTTGAAGAAAAAAAAAACATTTGGAAATTCAAAGACATGTCAGTAGTTTTTAAAATGGATCAGTTTTTTAAATATAATCTGTAGCAATAGCTGGATATCCATTTTGCAGGAATGCTTCACTTCTGCTCATGAATATGGACTTATGGATCACTCATATAAATATTTGGATAAGTAGACAAACATGAGCTGGAAGATACATCTATATGTAAGGTATAGAATAGAATAATGAGGGTTATGTTCTTTGATACATTTTTTTTAAAACAAAAGCAGTTCTAGAACCAAATTTGAAAATAACTTAACCGGATTCCAAAAGGGCATTGTTTTCTTTCCATTTGTCAGAACCAGAAATATGAACCTGTGAAACAGAGAAAAGGAGGGGGGATTCTCACTTTGCATTTTGTTATTTCTTCCCTCCTGGAAATGGTCTGCTTGTGTGAATAAGAATCTAATGCTTGATCAGTGATTAAAAAAAAGTTTGTTTTTACAACAGCTTTCCTCAACCCAGCATTTTCCAGATGTGTCAGGCTACAACCCCCATCAGTCTCAACATGTAGCAGGGCTGGGGATATTAAGAAATGCAGTCTTACATACTTGGTGCCTGCCAGGACTCTGGATCACACTGGAACTCCAATAATGGTATGATGGAATTCAACCTCTGTGGGCAGCACTGTTGAAATGAGGCTACTAGCAGTATTGCTGGTCCCTGATGCCCATCTGTTCTTCCTGCCTGTTTTCACGAATGTAAGCCAGATATTCTCAGATCTCAGCTGTGATACCCTCTATATCTCCAGTTATCTGAAATGTGGTGGGAATTGACCTGGTTGAGATCCCCACATTGTGTACTCACATGAGTAGGTTCTCCTTTTGAGGGAAACAAAATGACCCACAGGGGATGCTTGCAATGGCCCCAGCTAAGACGTGATGTCAGTAGAAAGTGTAATCAAGTCTGATGTCTCCTGCTACCCAATTTTGCACCATCTTTATATACACCAATGTGCCATTTTGAAGGGTTGTTTTGTCAAGACTTCCCCAAATACTGGAAGAAGCAAATGTGGAGGACTTTAGGGAAGTATGCTAAGCTTGGGAGACTGTTTCTACTTACTCTGGATCTTGAGGATCTTAATATTGGAGATGGAGCTGTGGGCAAGGAAACCATCTGTGTGGCATATCATTCAAGACTGCCGTTATGACCTGGAGGTCCACCTGTATTCCTCATGTGCCTACCTGGTTTGTACTTGAGGGAATTCTGCCCTGCCAGGTTACTAGACCATGTTATACTCTGCTCTGGCCCACGAGGTTAAGAGGTAGAGATTGCATCCACCTGCCATACTCTCAAGTGCCCTTCATTGAGAGGTTGCCTCCTCGAGAGCTTTATGGTCTGGTTTTTCAGGGCAGAGCTTTCTGTGGGTGGACGTTTTTTTTTGCAAGTCCTACCTACTTTGTAACAAAATTCTTCCCTTGATCTTCAAGAGGTTCTGTCTTCTGTTTCCTTACCAATAAAAGCCGAAACGCCTTCGTTGGAAGAAAGAGATTGTGCTGCTGTTGTGTACCATCAAACAGAAGGGGCATTGGTCACCAAACATTTTGTGTGAGGATCCAGCTGACCTGCTGCCGTGACCAAGTATTGAGGAAACACAGGATGAGAAGAATGTACACGCTCTCTTTCTCCGTTGATAAGCAGCCTTATGCCTTGAGCTTTTCAAACTTAGTACCTCTTCTCTACATTCCCAGTATGCAGTTGGACTCCTCTAACGGGATGCTGGTAGTTTACAAAGAGCTGCACACAAAGAAAATCTTGAGAAATCAGAATGCTCACTGAAAACCTTTACACATGCACAAAAGGGGGAAAACAAAGAAGTTATGTAATCATCAAAATATTTCCTGTTCTCCCTCCCCCAACAATGTTACTTATTTGACTTTCTTTTCCCATGATAAAGATAAATAAACAACAATTAAGCAGGATGTATTGGATGGTGCCATGATGTTCTTGTGTCTCTGGAAAGAAATCCTTGTTTTCACACAGATTATCTGATCAGGAATGAGCCAAGATATTTGGGTTCCTGCAGTGGGCAAGATGAGAGATGATAGATAGATACAGATAGATTTTGTAGTGCCCTTAGATATAAGCATGTACCAAATAAAAAATACTACTAAATATTGACATAAATGTCTCTTGTTTGTGCTACTTAGCATGGGCTTCAATCTTAACCAGAAGTCTGTGGTCTAGGGGAATTCTTCCATTCATGGTAAAGACTAAGAACTATTGAAGAACCTACTGGTGGCAGAGATACCTTTGCTCCCAAATTAATATGTTTTAAGATCCTATCTGTGGCACCTTCTTCTGTGGAGTTGTGCCATTTCATTCTCCATCTTTAGACCAGATTTATTAGAAAGGCAGGGTGAAAGTGAATTAGGAAAGCAAAGAAAATAAAACTCAAAATTAACTCAGTTTTGAATCTGAGAATCTAACTTCCCTGATGGAAAGGCATGGATCTTCTGACTGCTTCCAAAAATTCTGCAAAGAGAAATACATGCTAATTTGATAAAGAGGAAGATCAAGTCAAGTACTTTTGTACTGGCATAGTGAAACTGAATAAGTTAATATGAATTGTGCAGGTTATTTTTTCTCAAAAAAAAATCAGGTTAAAAAATTGGCTAAAGCAGATGGTGGGTGGGTGGGTGGGGAGATGGAGAAGAAAGAGGTAATGATCTTTGTTTCCACCAAGGAATTGGTATACAGGAAAGGATTCATATCTTTTAAAAAACCCCATGAATTGCTGAGTAATGAAAGAAAGATGGTATGAAGCTGCACACTTTCCAGACAGAAAATGAAAGAACACTCTACAACATAGATGGCAATAACACCTGGATCTTAAAATGCATAGCCCTCTTGGCACTTCCTATTTCTCCTATTATTACAAGTTGTGTGCCTTGTGCTCATTTACTAGATATATTAATCATCATCCTGTCATGTGTATGCAATACCAATTGCATTTTGGAAAAATACTGCCCTTGCTAACATCCCACACACAACAGTGTAGACCTTGCCAGAGGCTCATATTCCACCTGATATTATCCCAATACCATCAGGCAAGGAAACTACTTTGCTACAAAAAACAAAGATCTTCAACAACCTCTTTCCTGGAGTTGCTGCCTTAGCATTGGGACTGGAAGTTTTTATAGAGGACCTGCTAACTCTACTTCTTTCTGGAGATGTTCAGGACCAGGATCTGATTCATTCATGGAGCTTGTTTCCTCATTATCTTCCTCCTGAATAGTGCAGGTAGATGGGTGGCTTCTGTCAGCTAGTTGTAATGGCATCATAAGATCATAATTTTGGCCCTGACCCTTCATAGCCACTGCTCCTGGGGCCTCATAACTGTCTAGTGCTGGAATGAGTGTCCAGTCAGGGCAAAGTAATCCCTAAGACATCCCTTGTGTTTAGCTGGGCCTTAGCAAAGAGACATGAATGATTAGGACCTCATTTTTAGAAGTGGTCAGGCAAGATTAATTACTTCACTCAGCCCCTTCTTGGATAAAAATACACTACGGCTGAGTTCCACCTCTTGGTGGGTCTGGAAAGATATAGTCTCATTCTTCTGAGTTACTAAATGCCTCCTCAGCTTCCTTTTTTCTATAGAGTGAAAGGTTTAGAAACAAGATATTACTACCCTGCTTTCAGTCAAGAATGTGTAATACTACCTTATCCTTGAATGAATAAAACAATAACAGCCATTGGGGGTTTGTGAATAGGAGAACAAGGTCATTATCAGAGCCCGTGTGATAAGGTTACCACCTTCTTCCTCATTTCTTGGGTCTGAGCCTGCAGAATTCCCAGTTAACATGACATAAGTCATGCTGGCTTGAAAAATCTAGGAATTGTAATTTCAACACATTTAGAGAGCAACAGACCCAGGAAGGCTGTATTATGGATTTGCTATCAGATTAATATGGTGCAATAAACTGGGTCGAATGTAGGGATATAAGAATCTACAAAAATACCCTTTATTCTAATTATTACTTTGGCAGGAACTAGTTGTACAGTCCAACTTTGTTTCTTAAGGATTTAAAAAATAATTACTTTCCAGACCAGACAGAGGTGGAAAGGGATGGAATTTGTATTTTATATTTTTGAGACAGCCAAGGAGTGTCTTCAGGGATTAGTCAGCCTTTAAAAAACCCATTGTAGTTATAGTAGTGGGGGATCTTTGCACTTCCTTTCTCTAACACTTCTTGGAATGTCATTCCATGGGTAATGTGAAGATAAATATCCGCTGGGCCAAGAGGCTGGAACCAAGCTGAGATTTTGAAAGCTGGAGGAGACCTCCCAGGCTGTTTTATTGATTGATTATGTGCTATCAAGTTGGTGCTGATTCTTAGTGGCTACTAACATACATACGTACATTTTCTCCATGATGACCTGTCCTAAGCTGGTCCTTCAGGTCTTCCAAGGGTACATCTATTGCCACTGTGAGTCAATCCATCTTGCTGCTGGTCATCTTCTTCTTCTCTTTCCTTCCACCTTTCCCGGCATTAAAGCCTTTTCCAGACAGCTAGGTCTTCACATAATGTGTCCAAAGTAGGATAATTCAGTTATTTGTGTCATGAGATCATGAGTAAGAACTGTGAGTTGATTTGTTGATGATCCATTTGTTTGTTTTCTTGGCTGTCCATGGTATTCTCCAACGCCAAGTTAAAAAACATCAATATTCTTTCTATCCTGCTTATTATACTAAACACTTTAAAAAACTCATCCCTTCTTTGAAGAATGAGTGACTAATACAGGAGGGGGAAGAACAGCTAATGCTGTATAAGAATTGTGCTGTTGCAACAAGAGAAATTTGTACACCAAATTGTTATGCAACAATCTTTCATTTGAACTGTACAACATCAGAGCAAGTTCAACTGTGTTTTAACACACTTTTAAGTATTATTTAAGGTTAACCATGGCCACAGGTATCTACCTATCTATTAA